CCACTTCCCCCTTCCCCCTCACCACCAATCATAAAACGCTCCACACCTCTTGATTAGAGGTGTGCATTGTGCGATTCAGACAGTTTAAGAGTAAAATTATAAATTAAATGATAAATTGCTGAATTAACAAATTGGCAAATTATGATTTTGGTAGTTTTGGAAGGATTGAAAAATATTCTAATTAATTATCAAGTATATGAGTAATATATAATATTAATTTACATAATATTTTTTATATATATAATACAAATTAATTTTATATAGTAAAATTTTTCATATATATATAATTATTAATTTGTAACAAATTTCATATCTTAAATCTCTCTTGCACTCATTTTTATTTTGATATTTTATAAAATATTACAAAATATATATGTATTAACTATAATGGAGTGAAATGATTTTAAAGATAGATTATAAATTTAAAAATTTAATCTATAATTAACAAATTAATACGAATCGATATTGTTATTTTAGTTAAATAGGATAAAATGTAATATCTAACTTATAATCATTTTATTTTTTTCTCACAAAAATTAAAAAAATCAAAAAATTTATTCAAAATAAAATTTTTTAATCTCAAATTAAAATAATAAAAAAAAAATTAAAAAGCCAACCCCGTTTCAAACTAATCCAAAACCTAGCGAGTGTCGGAGATATCAAACTCTTACAGCAACGATTTTTATAAGAACGAAAAAAGTGCACGGGAGCACCGTGCACACCATCAAAATCCCATCGTACAAATACAGAGAACGTGTAAGCAAATCACGGCTTCCACGTGGCAAATAAATAAACCCACCAAAAAAGTTGGGTGGATAAGATAAGATAAATTTATGTAGTTGGCAGCCTTTTTTTTAAAAAAAATCAATAATACTAGGTAATTTAAAATTTTGTGATTCAAATGGCTCAAACCACTTAAAACGACGTGGTTTTGACAGATTTTGAATGTAAAACGACGTCGTTTTGACAGATTTAAACAATTTGAGTCACAAAATTTTGAACTACCAAACATTTTCCTTAAAAATTTTTTTATAGAGAAATAACTATCCACTAAAAAAAATATATAAAAATATAAGTAAATTACAAATACATCTATTGAGGTTTGTTTAAAACACAATTTACCTCTTGTAATTTAAAAAATTACAAATATCTTTTTATTATAATTTTTTTAACAGAATTAACTAAAAAAAAATTTCATAATTACTCTCCTATGCCATAATAAAATTACTTAAATAATTAATTGAAATATGTTTTTAACATCATTAAAAATTATTAATTGACTTGATGATTTATTAATAAAAATGAATAATTTATTATGAATTAAAAAGTTCAAATGATGAAATGTAATTTTTAAAACCACAGGAATAATTCGTATTTTAATCAAATTTTAAGAATATATTTGTAATTTACTCTGAAAAGATAAAAGTATAATATTTTTTAATTATTAAAATGTATAATTTTTTTCATTAATTTATAAATTTTTTTACCGTACTATTGTGCAGTTTTCTCAAAAATTATAACGTGGTGTAGGAAGGTCACGTGACTTTATTCTTGACCAATTATAATTTATAGGGCTGAGCAAGGAATCCGTGAAATCCGTAATCCGATCCAGTCCAGTCCAATCCGATAGGTTTGGATTAGTTTTTTGAATCCGCGGTTCGGTTCCGGATTGAAGAATTAAAAATCCGTAGTCCACGGATTGGTTCCGGATTGAACCCCACGGTTCCGGATTGGAACCGATCCGGACCGTATACAAATAGTCTATATTTTTATTATACATCCTCCCCCATAGTATCTTCTCTTATTCTATATAAAATTTAAACTCAAACCTAAAACCGTATAATATCTTATTTTATTACTTTTGTTTGTATTTTCTTATGGTTGTTTAAATTCAAGAACAATATGTCACTATTATAGAAAAACATGTTGCTATTATGGAAATGATATAGCGCTATATTTATATTTTTATGAAATTAAAGTGTTATATATATATATATATATATTTGTTATTTAATTATGTGAATCCGTGGTCCTAAACTGATCCAATCCGTATGTAAATGGATTGGTTCGGATTGGTTCCATGATTTAAACGGATTGGATTGGTTCCAATTTTTCAAGAACCGTAGATAACGGATTGGTCCTGGTTTTCCCCAAATCCGGTCCAATCCGGACCATGCTCACCCCTAATAATTTAGGGTAAATTATAAATACACCTATTGAGATTTGATTAATTATAAATCGCTCCTTATTATTCTGAAAATTACATTCCATCCTCTAAGGTTTCTAATTTTATAACAAATTGGTTATTTTATTACTAAATTATCAAGTCAATCAATAGTTTTTAATGATATTATAAATATGTTTCAATTAATAATTTAGGTAATTTTATTATTATATAGGAAAGTAATTATGAGTTTCTTTTTTTTAGTTAATTTTGTTAAATTAATTTTTTTAACAAGGGGATATTTGTAATTTTCAAACTGTAGAGAGCAATAATTACTTTAAGCAAATCTTAGAAGGTGTATTTGTAATTTATCCTATAATTTATCATATCCTTTTTGTCCCTCAATCATCTAATAAAAAATTGTAAGGCTAACTTTGACATCTTCAAAAAAAGTCAAAAATCACTATCCTATTTAAGTCACATCATCTTATTTAAGTCATATCACCTTTCTCCCATATCACTTCAAACTCAACTCATATTTTATAAAAATTAAAAAGTGCACTTATTTAGAACATCCCAAACAACTCCTAAATCTCAATTTCTTTACCAATCATAACTCATTTAGCCTCCGTTTGGGAAGTGGATTGGCTTTTTGACTTTTTGGCTTTTTTGGCTATTTTAGCCTGGGCTTAAAAGCTTGGTTTGGGAAGGGCTTTTTGGCTTTTTGGCTTTTTTGAGTTTTTTTGTGAGAGAAGAATGTAATGATTATGGGTTGGATGTGATGTTTTGTTTGTTATGGCTAAAATAGCCTATTTTGTTTTTTGTGGCTAAAATAGCCAAAAAAGCCTCCAACCCACCTTCCCAAACGAATATTAAGTGATTGTGTCGTGATTTGTGCACCATTATCTCCGGACAATTAATGACGTCATAATTATAAAATAATACTGACCACGCATAACATTACATTGAAATTCTTACCTCACAATCTTGTGTCAGAGCATTTCCAACCTACTAGACATATAATGTTTGTTAGTCAAAATGTCTAATGTGATTCACTTTTTTCAACTCCAATGCATTAGGTATATGATTAGGCATTTTGACTCAGCTCATATTCACTAACTACATGTAGCTAGCCTTCAAGGCTAGACAAAATGTATTTAATCATTAGGATTCATTCCTTCCATCTTTGTTGTTGACGTTACATTCTATAAAGTTAATAGTATTTGAATGAATAGTTAAAATAAATAACATGGTTGTAATAGAAACATAAAACAGTTGACAGATAAAATAAAATGTATATTTTATAATAATATTTAGATAGGTAAAATACTTACTACTGTTGAAGATGCTCTAAGCACACTAATGTAGCTAAGAATTTTTTGTTAATAAAAATAATTTAATTGTATTTTTATAGAATGGTAGGAGAGCAAATGAGAATTGCACCGTATATCACGAGTTTCATTTGTGCGGAATACAGGCCCACTTGCACTTTTAATTCAATTATTTAAAATTATTTCTATTTAAATGTATTTTTTTGGTAACACATTTAAAATAATATTTAAAATTATTTCTATTTAAATGTATTTTTTTGGTAACACATTTAAAATAATCATATATAATATTTTAATTTTTGTAAATATTCATAGAACACTTATAATAATCATATTTTATTTATTAAAGACATTGATTTAGTGACGGTATAATATCATTTTGTAGAATCACTTTGTAGATTTAACTCCGACGAAAAGGAGTTCGATATCTTCTCTTATTGAGAAGGTGGTATAATGAGCATTGGACTGGGTAATTTCTTTGTTGTGGTTGTTGGGTTGAGCTAGATAGATTTTTGGAGGAGATTATTGAGTTTAATAATATGTATAATTAATTTCTTATCAATTAGGAAAAAATCATATTTTATAGAATTATATTGGGAGAATTACTGTTCAATTGAGAGAAGGAAAAAAAATTATAAACACACAAGGCTACAAATGATTCTATGGTGGAGTGAAAGTAAAAATTTGTGGGGGTGCAAGTTTCCCTTGTAGCCCTTTATGTTGATGTAATTTTTTTTCTTCTACTTCTCTGGACAGTAATTTCTCCTATTATATATGTCAACATTATATTGATAAAATTATAGATAAAATATGATTAAAAAATATAATATATATTATTTTTAAAGGAAAATAAATATTAAAAAAAACAATTAGTCGATGATATCAAAGCGTTTGGCACTACAAAAAAATTGACTTTTTGCGACGGTAAAATACCGTCGCTAATACTTTAATGCCGTCGCTAATATTTTTTGCGACGGCAAAATGACTTTTTGCGACGGCAAGAGGGGGTCGCAACTGTAGGGGTTGCAAAAGAGTTTTTGCGACGGCACAGTGCTGTCGCTAATGTTTTGCGACGGCATTTTTGCCTTTTTGCGACGACACTGTGCCGTCGCTAATAACGTTTGAAATTTCTTGACTTTTTTGCGACGACACTATTTTACCGTCGCTAAAAATGTTATTTGAGACGGCAAAAATACCGTCGCTAGTAGTCTTTTTTTGCAACGGCAAAAACACTGTTTTGCGACGATGTGGTGCCGTCGCAAAAAGTATTAAAAATATGAAAATTTCTATTTTTTGCGATAGTGTAATGCCGTCGCAAAAAGTATTAAAAAATAATAAAATTACTATTTTAAATAATAAAATTTCTATTTTTTGCGACAGTATAATACCGTCGCAAAAAGTAAAACCTATAACAAAATTAATAAAATTATTAAAATTTTCTATTTTTTGCGATGGTGTAATGCCGTCGCAAAAAAGAAAAAAACATCCTACGATAAAAGGGAAAATTCAAGTACAAAAATTGTTACACTGATATACATGATAGACATCTGCTCCACCAATACAAAGATATGCAGGAAGCATTAAAACACATAATTTTTTCCCTATACCTAGCAATAGGGGTATGGCATGGTGAGATTTTTTTTTTGGGCGATACGTATGGCATAACGAAACTTTTGCTAGAATTATCACAAAAATAGATCACTACATTAGCCACCCAACTCTTGGAAGACTTAAATGCTAACACTCTCATAGCCAAAAATTCATGCTTGGCCACACTTGCTTAGACATATAATTCCCTCTTCCAGGTAATCTTCTCTGCTAATTCAAAACTCCGGTGCATCCTGCACGAGTAATCAAATTTCTCAATGTCCAACTTCATATCAATTCATGTTTTTGTTCCCTGTATCTAAAAAATTGCTTTTTGTTAAGAAAGTTATTCTCCCTTTATTTATTTTTTCTTTGCTTGCTTTCCTTTTTTGCTCTTCATTTCAGTTTGTTTTTCACAAATCTGAAAGCAACAAATGCACTGTCCAAATATTATGGTCTACTTTTAGAAGCACAAGACATACTTAACATGGGGGTGAAAAATGCAAGTTGACAAAACACATCATTGAAACCACTGTATCCTGGTTTGTATGAGTGAGAGAGAGAGAGAGGGGCAACACTGTACCTTCATAATTCTTGCAAGGACTGCTCCTCCAAGGTACACCATATGCTTTCTTCGCGGTGGATCCTCTATCCGCAACCGTAGTTTCTGCTAGAAGTAGAGGAAGATCAGAAGAATTGTTAGCTAACATGAAGTGAGAGCCTCATTGTTAAATTGGATGAACAAAATAAAAAAAAACATGATATTTTTTCCTTTTTTCTTCTCCTTCCATACCATAACACATGTAACTTGGGTCTTACCTTCAACCCATCCTTCTTTCCCTTCAGAACAGCTTCAAGATAACGGTCTAAAATTTCTTTCTCCAGGCTGTAGGAAAATAAAAATGAAAAACTTCAAAAACTAAATTTAAAGCTATATCGAAGTATCAGAACTAAAGAGGGCATCTCCTTGGGTTCTTACGAAACTAGATTAGCGATTCACTATTAAAATCACAAAGGCAGATGACTACTTTAGTTGCAAGACTGTAAAACATGCGGATAGATGTTTTCCAAGAGAAGAACATAGAGCAATTAAGACCAAGTTTTCAAAAAGTCCAATAAGTTGAAAAATCACTGCAAATATAACTTGTGAGAGACAAATTAATCACTAAGAAGAAAGCAGTGCAATGATTTTATATAGTGTGGTGGGGCTATATGGGGTACAAGACTTTAATATTTTTTTTGACTAAATCAAACAGTAAATATAATAATTTTAATATAATTATATCAATTTTTTTTAATAAAATTAAAATAATCAGAATTAATACAAATACAAATGAAGTTGAGAAAGATACAAAATAATCAAGCTAATGCACATGGTGCCAAGATACGAAGATAACCAAGCTAAAATATATATTTTAATAAAAAGCTATGATAATATATATATATATATATATATGACTAACATATAATGTATCCTATTAAGTATTGTTTTCTATATGACTAACAAATTAGGAGGTTAAGTGTTATATAAGTTAACATTTTAAAAGAATTTAGTATAATTATACTAAAAATGTGAAAAATTTTAAGGGGGTAAATTCTCTCCAATACACTTTGTGGATTAGAGACGGTGTTGTTGGCTCCGTGGAGCTCACTATATGGGTTCCATTTCAGTTATTTGAACCGTCATGTGTTTCATTTCGATGATCCGAATTGTTAAATGTGTAAAACTCATCGAATATTTTATCATTATAAAAAAAATCATATTAATTAGATATTGATAGACACTCCATCAAAACACATTTTTGTCTTAAAATTATATTTACCATTGACAAAAACATGATTTGATCGAGGGGCTATCCATATCCAATTAATGTAATTTTTTATATGGATAAATTACTTGACAAACTATATATATTGACGATTCAGATCATTAAAATAAAACCCGTGGTGAGTCTTACGAGTCCAACACCAAATGGACTAGAGAGAAGCCTTATTTTTTTTTAACGGGTTGAGCTTCTCTCTACATCTCAACATGAAAAAACTTGAGGGGGCCGTGGGACCTATCATGGGTATCTTTTTTTATGATTCAAACCATTTATTTTGCAAAATTCGCAATGTATATCATTTGTAAAAAAAAATTATGCTAATATGATAATTATAACTTCTTTTATTTTATCGTATTTGTCTTTTAAATATATATGATATATTTTAAAAAATATATTTTTCATCTATTTTTCAGAAATAAATGCTACAAAATAAAACTGTTACAATTATCATATCAAAGTAAATTTTTCATAAATAATATATATTGATGGTATTACAAAATGAACTATTTAAATTATTAAAACGAGATCCGTAATGAATTTTTTAGGCTCCTCTAATTCTCTTGTGAACCTAAAACAAGTAAAATATTTTTTAAATCTCAAGGAGATGAAAGTTAGCGTAATTAACTCAATTTTTTTTAAAAAGTATTTTTTAATTTTTTTATAATAAAATATGAAAAAAATAAAAAAAAATCAGCTTATTTGATTCCATTTTTCAAAAAACAATTTTGAGAGAATTTTACTTTTTTATTTTTCTTATTCTAATGTTTTCAACGATTTTTTTAAATATTTTAAGTAATTTTTTTTAAAATTTTTAGACACACCTAACATAAATGCACTTAAAAAGTATAATATGTGTATTTTTTAAAAAAAATATACTAAATACCAAAGAATACAAAAAAAAAATTCAATACATTTTTCGTATTTTTGTATATTTATTAATTTTAAAAAATATTTTTTCACGAATATTTTATTATTTAGATATATCTAAATAAGGTGTATTTAAAAAAGTAAAAAAATTACTTAAAATTTAAAAAATATTCACTAAAACTAAAAAAATACAAAAAATAAAAAAAATCAATTTAAAAAAAATTATATTAAAAAAACTGAAATCAAATATACTAAATATAACCTATTAAAAAAAAAATGCTAATATAGGACGAGTCAAATAATAGCTTATCTATTTTGCTTAAATTACTTGACAAACAAACCTGGCTACATTCCCGAGAAAAAAATTCGAACAAAAACTATGAAGTCCAAATTATCCATCACGTTAACATCAAAATCTTCATAATCTCTCTCTCTCTCTCTCTCTCTCTCTCTCTCTCTTCATACTCTGTATTTTGGGATATAACTGAAAGGAGAAGAAGCAAATGGCGGAAAATGAAGAATTGTTCATTGGTTCAATCGATCAAGGAACAACCAGCACCAGATTCATCATCTACGACAAGCTTTCTCGCCCAATTGGATCTCACCAGGTGGAGTTCACTCAGTTCTACCCAGAAGCAGGGTAATCCCAATCTCTCTCTTTCTCTCTCTCTCTCTCTCTCTCTCTGCAATTCCTCTGTTTTTTACAGTAATCTAGTTTTGATTGATTCGATGTCTGTGTAGATGGGTAGAACACGATCCGATGGAGATTCTAGAGAGCGTGAGGGTTTGTATAGCGAAGGCTATTGACAAAGCCACTGCTGATGGGTTCAACGTGGACAGTGGGCTCAAGGCAATTGGTGTCACCAATCAGAGGGAGACCACCCTGGTTTGGAGCAAATCTAGTGGATGCCCTCTCTACAACGCCATTGTTTGGATGGATGTCCGTACCAGTTCTATTTGCAGGTTCATTTTTTGTTTTTGTTTTTTTAATCAATTTATTTTTGCAAATTGAAGATTGGGAACATTTTCTGATTGTGATCATTGCCTGTTTCTTGAATTGTTTAGTTTTCAATTGGGTTTTGATTGATATTTGTTGGTTTTTTGGGAATGGGAATCTAGTTCTGTTCTGGGTATTCGTTGTTTTGGGGTTTTGATCAATACCCATTTGTTAAATGATCTAACTTTGAAATGGTGTGAGTCAAATTTGGATTTTAGTAGACCCCTCTTTTGGAATTTTGCATCCTTTGTCTGCATTTGTTTTGGGTGATTATATTTACACACCATGTTTTGTCACACTCACTATACACCATTTGTCTTGTTCATATATCAATTTCCGAACCAGATACAAATGTTCAGATATCAACTATTGAATGGGATTTTTGTTTGAACAGTTAGTTTTTGTTGAGAAGTTGATATTTGAAAATTTTATTTTTATTTGAAAATGATATCTGAACAGTATAAATAGTGTTTGTTGAGATAAAGTATTGTGTGCGAATATAATTACCCATTTGTTCCTCCATTTTTTAACGAAGGGGCCTACGTTATGATCAAAAGGGAAGAAGGGTCTATGTCTGTAGTTCTATTAATGTAAATTTGGTGAAAAAAATTCGATTAACAGTGATATGATACCATATCATCATAGAATGACCATTCAATTCAATAATAAATTACCATGAGTAGTGAACCCACTATACAAATATGATAGTTATTAGATTGTATTGGGTGGTAGTTATATTTAAATTATGGGATTCACTCATCCGATCAGGGATGAAGCGAGATTATGGCATGGGGTGGCCATGGCCCTTGTTAACTTTTTGAAAATCCGTCTCATATATGATATATATATATATACTGCTCATAAATATGTTGTGTTCAGTAGTGGCCCGGTCAAGAATTGGATTAAATATTAGGTATAATGGTGATATGAGTGATAATATTACCAATTGAAAATTTTCCGATTGGGTTAATGGAAGATAAGTAGCCTCCACCTGATCCCATTTACATTTTTTAATTGGCTGCTAATAACACCACATAATCTGATCGTTACTAATTGAGGGTTCCTGATTTATTGGTTATTTATTGTTTGTCTGTAACATGCAACTTTGTTTTTTTTTGTTTTTTCTAATTTTCTTATTGTGTTTGCGTTTTTTATTCATGATGACGTCTAAGATTTTTATTTTGAAAAAAACTTCCAATTATTTTTTGTGGAAAAAAGTTATAGGTGAAAATTTGATGAATTTCTTGAAAAAAGAAAAGAAAAGAAAAGACATGTGGAGTACCATTTTCATAGTAGACCAAGTGGTTTTGTATCAAAAATTTATTCATTTATTTTTTTCATGTATATATTTACATTGAATATTTTGTCTAATATATTTTTATTCATTGAAACTAGGGTTTGAAAAATATAAATATAGTCATTTTTATTTGTCTAAATTTTACTATATAATATTTGCCCCCCAAAGATAAAATCCTGACTCCATCCCTCCATCTGATGCGTCTATTATTGACACCAAATGTCAGTAATGATATGGTGTTATACTGTTGTACTCAATTTACTTTTAAATTTGGAATAAACAACTTTTTATTTTATTTTATGTACCTCGCTATTTTGTATTTTGTACAGGAAATTAGAGAAAGAGTTATCAGGTGGACGAACCCATTTTGTTGATACATGTGGTTTACCCATAAGCACATATTTTAGTGCATTAAAGTTGTTATGGTTGTTGGGCAATGTTGATGCTGTTAAACAAGCTGTGGCAAAAAAGGATGCCCTGTTTGGAACTATAGACTCCTGGTTGATCTGGAATTTGACTGGAGGTGTTAATAATGGTTTACATGTCACTGATGTTTCAAATGCATCACGAACTATGCTCATGGATCTGAAAACACTTGATTGGGATAAATCCACATTGGAGACACTCAAAATTCCTGCTGCCTGCTGAAATTCTACCCAAAATTGTCAGTAATTCTGAGATTATTGGAAAAATATCAACTGGATGGCCAATCCCAGGAATCCCAATTGCTGGATGTCTTGGTGATCAACACGCAGCAATGCTGGGGCAAGCTTGTAGGAAAGGAGAGGCAAAAAGTACTTACGGAACTGGGGCTTTCATACTTCTCAACACTGGTGAAGAGTTGATTCAATCTACTCATGGTCTATTAAGCACTTTAGCTTTTAAGCTTGGCCCAGATGCTCCGACAAACTATGCTATTGAGGGCTCAATTGCCATTGCAGGAGCTGCTGTTCAGTGGCTCAGAGACGGTCTTGGGTTAATTGGAACTGCTAGTGAGATTGAGGACTTGGCTATGCAGGTTGAATCCACTGGTGGAGTTTATTTTGTGCCGGCATTTAATGGATTATTTGCTCCATGGTGGCGTGATGATGCTCGTGGAGTTTGTATTGGAATTACGAGGTTTACAAACAAGTTTCACATTGCTCGAGCTGTGCTCGAGAGTATGTGTTTCCAGGTGAAAGATGTGTTGGATTCGATGCACAAGGATGCAGGGGAGAAGGGTGAGGTCAAAAATGAGAAGGGGGAATTCTTGCTTAGAGTGGATGGTGGTGCTACTGTTAACAACCTTTTGATGCAAATTCAGGTCAATTTTTCCTCACATTTTCTGCTCTGTGCTGAATTTCATTGCTGTTTAATTGAATCTAAACTAGGTCAGCTTAGGATAAGAATGACTGTTTTTTTTATTGATGTGTTTGAAGTTACTTTTTTATGTTGGAAAGTTATCTAGTTCTGGATTGAATTGATTCTGAATTGGAAATGAACCCAACCAATTTGATTTTAGTTTTCCCATCTACTATAGAATTGGATAATTACAAACATTTCTGCTGTAATCATATTGTTCCTTTATTGTAGTCTTAGAAAATATTTTTCCAAACTTTTTGTCGTGATCTTGTGTTAGTCACGCATGATCTTCCTTAGGTAGTTAAATTATAAGTCTACTCTATTGTCTTTTTAAGTTTTTTTGGGCATATTTTCTTATCAGTTCATGTTTTGATAAATGGCAGCTAATTGTTTTTCTCTCTATGCCAGTCATATATGTCACGGTTTCATTTTGAACTTGTGATTTGCAGGCAGACTTGTTGGGTAGCCCAGTGGTAAGACCAGCTGACATAGAGACAACGGCTCTCGGAGCAGCCTATGCTGCTGGTTTAGCTATTGGGGTTTGGACAGAAGACGAAATTTTTTCTTCTGGGGAAAAGAAGGAAAAAGCTACCATTTTCAGTCCAACATTACAAGAAGATCTGAGGCAGAAAAAGGTGGAGTCTTGGTGCAAGGCTGTTTCAAGATCTTTTGACTTGGCTGATCTATCCTTGTGACTGACTCTTCTTCATTATGTTATCTTACTAGCCTTTTCATTTTATCATTTTCTCCTCCTAGTTTACTTTCTATAATGCTTATGCAGGTGCGAATGCTAGAAACCTTACTTTGATTTTAGTGGTGAAGTTTATATCATAATAAAATGTTGATTTGGGAGTATCTCCACCATTACATCATCCAATGGTTGTAAAATAGTCCTGTAAACTTATCTTTATTTCAAATTCAGAAAAAGTCATTACAACTGATGTGGCTTAAAAGTTCAAAGATAACCCGGGTTGCACTAGCACTTGGAAGCCTATAATAATTGAGAAATTCGAGAAGAAATTGGCCTTGTGGAAGCAAAAATACCTTGCTAATCTGCCCATTTATTATCTGTCGCCATTCAAGATTCCTGTGGACGTTGCGAAAGAATTGGAGAAATTTCAAAGACAATTCTTATGGGGGAGATAATAGTGAATTGGAGAAATTTTAATATGATTTTGCTTTGAAAGTCTGGTTGGTGGGGGATGCAATGGGCATGCTGTGGCTCTTTGGAGACTTTAATGCTATGGTGGAAACTTAATTCATATTGTATTGCTAATTTGCACCATCATCATTTTCAAATAACGTATTTTCTGCAATGACATCACTAATAATGCATGGTAAAGGCGTGCCTAATCCACCTGCAACTCCCATCATAAATGTCCAATTATGAAAGAAAAGTCTGTTAAAAGTGACAGAAAAATTACAAAAAGTACTTAATTTTTTTTTGGGCGAAAATCACCTTGTATTCAGTATTAACCATTACTAATTGATGGCTAAATTTTTTGTATTATCCAAATCTAATGATTAGAATTAGTTTTTGATATGGTACACATCTTTTTATTTTTTATTTTTTTATTTTTTATCAAAGAAAAATCCGCAATTGAAATTGGAGATTTCCACTGTCACGATTCAAATTATTTTAGAATCAACGGCTCTACTTATATAGAATAAACCACGTAATCAAAGAAAATGTTATTAAGTGCACTATAAGAAAGTACATATGGTATTTTTTTTTTATTTTTTTTTTATCAGCAACAAAGAAATTTTATTGATGAATAATGAATTACACCATACATCAATGAAAAGGATGGATGCACAAGCATCATAGCTAAGTAGTATGATCCCAATTAGGTTGGCACCATAGAACAAGCCCAATCATCTGCAATATTTCATCAAGTTGGTGGGTGACCAACCAAAAGAAAAACCATAAAAAACACCAACAATAACAACACCAATATTCCCCAGCACTGGTGCTCCGATTTCATGACACTTCCCACCCACAGAATCTCAAAATCAGATTTACCTTCTTCTTCACCCCGCCCCCAGCCCACCAATGCAGCATTTCAACAAACTGACCCAATACTGCTACATCTGCTACTCACCAGGCCATTGCAAAATATATACCAAAACCATGACCGAATACTGCTGCTGCTCTCCCCCCCTGCTACAGAAATGCAGAGCAGATTATGAACCAGACCCTCCCACACTGCTGCTGCTGTTCTCCATGGATAGGTGCTCCTACTGCCCAGACACATTTACATCCTCTCTGATTTTAAAAGCTTTTTTTCACCATATGAAAGTTACTCACAATATCATTTACCGAATTAAGGCACCCAGAATTATGTGATTTCCACCAAAGTGCTAACCTTAACTTAATTGTCTCACATAACTCCACCAAATCTAGATGCTTATCAGAAAAAATACATTCATTTTTGCATTTCCAGACAGACCAAATCACTGCTGAGGGAATAGTTCTCCAAAACATCCTTTATTTTTTATGAAAATTCCAGCTCAACCACCATTGTAATAAACACTCTACTGAACCTGGTGTTACCCACTCCAGCCCCCACCACTCAATTATGCATACCCACACATTCCATGCAAAAGGGCATAGCAGCAAAATATGATTAGAGGATTCCAGTTCAGATTTGCAGAACACACAATGTAAATCCACATTTCCCCTCAATACTCCAATTCTGTGCTGCAAAGCCTTGTTTTAAGTGTACCCTTCCAGGCCAACCAAGTAATCAATTTGGCTTTAGGTGGAGATAAGTTGTTCCACATCAGCCCAGCAGAGCTGTGTAAAGAAACAGAATCATATCACACCATTTATATGTACTACCTTGAACCCACCTATTGGATCAACCTTCCATTTCACAGAATCCTCATTCTCCATGCCTATCCTAGGCCCTGTTCCCAACAAATCAATGAGTTTTACTAACTCATCTTCTTCCCAAGCATGTAGATTTCTTCTAAAACTAAAACACCACCTGTCTGAATTACAAAAAAATCACAAATTTTTTACAATATGTCTATTTTTAAGTATGCATATCATAGGTTTTCTTGATAAACAATCATAAAATACTCTTTCGTGTGAGCCTCACAACAACTGTCTAAAGTGCAACCATTAATATTTTCGTGCAAATTGACGGAGCGAAATTTGAAAGAGCATACAAAAATGCTAGGGGAGATTACGAAAAAAAATGGTATTTTAGACATGGTAACTTATGCATACCTCCATTGAGTTTAATAATTAAAATACTCTTTTTTCGTCGGTTTTAGTTAACGAAAAATAGTCGAATAGTTTAGATTAAAAAAAAATCAAAAGATTAAGGTTTAAAATGACAAAATTAAAAATTCAAGATTTATTTTGTTATAAGGCTAAAACTTTGGGGTTTTTTGTAATTGTCCCAAAATATTAAATTAATCAATTATTATTTTTATTTGTATTTATCATTTAATGTGATATACTCTATTACTCTTAAATATTAATGCTATATATATCAATAAAAATATAACGTGACACATTAAATGGTAAGAGTGACATACTTTATATGCTTGTCGTAGGTTCTTTCTTAAAAACCATATTCACCTTTGCTTACTTTATTCATATAGTTGGAATGAAAAGAAAAGAAATGATTTTAATTAAGATTCAGTAGGGTTAGAATGCAGAAAAGGTTGACAGATTCACAACATGATTTTTTTCATTTTCACGAGGTACTAGTCTCTTTTGTGTTTTGTGTCAAGTCTTTGTATGCTTACACAAAAATTCATATATAGTATAATTATTCTTTCACTATTCCACTAAAATGTAATTACCACTATTTTGTTTCTATTGAAAATTAAGTTTTGGAAAAAGTGAAACAGAGACTTGTCATATTGCAATTACGGTATAGTTCACTTATATTATTATCCACACATAGATTAGTTGACAACAACAAAAATTGTAAATGTAACAAATCAATTTGACAATCCATCTTGCTACGTGCCGTAATGACCATATAAGATGGTATATGTGGGAGGCAAAATTTAAGTTAGAAGTCACATGATGTTTGTTGGGGCTGATCAGGGTCAAAAAGGAGTGTCAAACTAGAAGGTCGAGTTAAGAAGTTGAACTAGAGATAGCTCGTCACCGAGCTAGATTTAATCTTGGACTAACGGTCCGAGCCTTAACTAGGTCCACACTTATTCCACCCAACATGGATTTTTCCACTCCTAAAAATTCGCAAATGTGAGACACGATTCCCTAAAAAGCGGAACAAAATGGAGGAGTTATAGGGACCTCTCAACCGCCTCCAATGGTTGGAAATTGAGCCTATATAAGCAAGACACCTAAACTAGAAAGGTACACAACAACGGATACTCAAGCTCTTACCTTTAGATGCTTATTTTCATTATTGACTTAGGTATTAGAGAGTCTTCTGGCTACTTACTAGCCAATATTATTCTTTTGAGTATTTTTTAAGTAATCCAGCCTTCAAGTTAGATCAATCTGACACCATTACAAGTTGTGATAAGTTTTTCTCCATACAATATAATACCTTGTATTATTTGTTTTGTGGTGATATCTATATTTGACTCAACTTCTACCATAAAAGCATAGGAAATTTACTTCTTCTATGCAAAAGATTAGCACAAGTAAATCAAATTAAAAATGGCACTAATTTGGACGATGATCCCATTACTTGGAATTTCCTCCAAGACTACATTTTTAGAGTCATCATTATTCAACAGGGCATGAAAGTCTTAAACTTGTGCAATGGGATATAAAAAATTGTATAATCAATAATATTACACTCATCTTTTTATACTACATTCAGTATACTATTTCATATAATACAATCATAATCATTGGATATTAATACAACTTATGTGGAATCCATTACATTAATGGTTGTGATTGAGGTACATAAGAGGGTATATCAAATGTTACATAAGAAGATAGTAAAAGTGTAACATTTGTTATTTAATTATTTAGGTATGAGTTTAGTCAAATTTAATTTGAAATTTGTAACACTTGACTAATAACATAAACAATAAGTGATTGGTCTATTTAGGCTGTGTTTGGTATATGGATTTAGGTAGGAATTTAAAAAGAGAAAAGAAAAATGTAGGTGAAATATAGTTACATTTCACACACTTTTTCTTTTTTCCCTTTCAAATTCCTACCCAAATCCATAAACCAAACACAACCTTATGAGTAATGAGTGGATGGTACTTGTTGCCAAACATGACATAATCTCAATCTTAAAGAAAACATTTCTAATTTGTAATTTCAAACTTTCTCATGTCCTAAACATTAGTTTCTCTATTTTAAATCCACAAGTAGCTAGCTAGTCACACATGCCAAAGTAATTGTCAATCAAAGAATTGAAACAGATTTCTTATATATGTATTGTATTTTTTCAACTTTTTGATATCCAATGAACTTTTTCATAAATCCAAATTATTTCAATGTATAAAGGGAAGTGCTATACTTACCAAAAACCTTACAAACTTTGCTTCCAAATTATATACACACACACATATATATATTTTCTAGGACCCTATATATGTTTTCATAGCAATATTTCCAAGCAACTTGAAATGAAATGAAAACAAGTAACCAATAATGCTTATTGTGTCTCCATTTATTCATTCATAAGCAACACAAGCTAGCACTATTACAACATTTGCCATACTTGTCCATGGAAACAGATCATAGCTAATATAATACAAAAGGCCTAATAGCTTGTAAAACGAATCAGAAAACAACATTTGCTATACTTGTCCATGGAAACAAACCATAGCTACTAATACAAAAGGAGTAATATCTTGCAAAGAGAATTAGAAACAAAATAGTAACTAGAATACATACCCTCCTCAATCAGATAGAATCACCTTTGTCTCCAATACGGGTTGATGTAAAGAATAGCAGCAAATCCAAACAAGAAAGTGATGTATGTTCCGACAAAACTTGCAAAAAATGCCACTAGATCGATATCATACCATTTCCCCTCAATTTCATCTAAGGATACTGTTGTTGGCAAGTGTGGTGAGTCAACAATGGCTGTACAAATTTTCTCTAATGGCTGTCCACAAAGAAATGGATTTCCCTCATAACTGCTCGCTTCAAAGGTCCCAAATTGTGCTTTCCTGTCTAATATTTTACCTGATAAATTGTTGTGAGCCACAGTGAACACTTCCAAAAAATTTAGATTGATTAGTTTTGTTGGGATGTTGCCGCTCAAACTGTTGTAAGAAAGGTCCAAACTCTCTACTTGGGTAAGGTTTGAGAAGGTCTTCGGGATGGGTCTAGTCAACAGATTGTGAGACAAGTTCAGTGCATGAACATTACTTAGATTTCCTAATTCAAAAGGTATGTTACTTATTAGTTTGTTATGTGGCAGATCCAATCTAGACATGAAATTAAGGATGTTGCTGTAAGATTCCTAAAAGCTTTTCTGTATCTCGTATATTCAATGTGTGAATGATTACAATCAGACCTTAGATTATATAGCCCTAAATCCTAAACCAAAAGGGAGAATACAATTATGCCTCTGATAGGACTCTAAGACAACCATACCTCTAAATATACAATATATTCTCACACCCTCGCTCAAACTTAAGGTGTTTTAGCAGAAAACACTGAGAGTTTGCTAAGAAGAAACTGAAACTGAGCGGTAGTGTGAGTCTTGGTGAAGAAGTCCGCAAGTTGCAAAGCCGAAGGAATGAAAGGAAGCGAGATAGAGGCAGACTGCATATGTTGGCGAACAAAGTGACAATCAATCTCAATATGTTTCGTCCCCTCATGAAAGACAGTATTGTGAGCAATCTGAACAGCACTGCGATTGTCACAATAGAGAGAGGTCGGAGAAGACTGAGAGACACCCAAATTAGACAAGAGACAACGAAGCCAAACAATATCAGCAGTGGCATGAGCCATAGCACGATACTCAGCTTCGGCAGTAGAGCGAGCAACGATTGATTGTTTTTTGTTTTTCCAAGAGATTAAGGAATCTCCAAGAAACATATAGAAACCAGACGTAGACTTACGATCAGTAACATCACCAGCCCAATCAGAGTCAGCATAGGCTACCAAGTCCAAAGAGGAAGTAGAGGATAATAATAAGCCCTGAAAGATAGTACCCCTGAGATAGTGAAGAACGCGAACTAAAGCAGCCCAATGGGTAGAGCGAGAAGCAGAAACAAACTGACTAACCACATGAACAGCATAAGCAAGGTCAGGACGAGTGACAGTTAGATAAACTAAACAACCCACAAGCCCGCGATATAAAGTGGGATCATCCAGAGAGACACCATCAGTAGAGTTAAGCTTCACATTAAGCTCAATAGGTGTATCAGAAACCTTAGTATCAGTAAGACCAGCACGATGAATGACTTCATTAGCACACTTAGCCTGAGACAGAAAATAGCCCTTGGGAGAAGAAGCAACCTCAATACCAAGAAAATACCGTAATGGACCCAGATCCTTCATTTCGAAGGTGCGGAAGAGATGTTGCTTGACTTCAGAGATAGCAGAAGAATCCGAACCAGTGATGATCATATCATCCACATAAAGCAAGAGAGCAACAAAACCAACCGAGGTATGTCGCAGAAATAAAGCAGAGTTGGAAACAGAAGGATGAAACCCAAGCTCGGTAACAGCAATCTGAAATCAATCATACCAAGTACGAGGAAACTGTTTCAGACCATACAGAGCATGCCGAAGGCGGCAAACCTGTCCAGAGGGATGGTGAAGGCTAGGGGGAGGACGTATGTAAACCTCCTCAGTGAGATGGCCATTAAGAAAAGCATTCTTAACATCCATCTGATAAAGAGGCCAAGAACGAACAGCAGCGACAGAGATCAAAGTACGGACAGTAGTCATTTTGGCAACAGGAGCAAATGTCTCCTCATAATCAATACCATACTCTTGAGAGAAACCTTTGGCAACCAGACGAGCTTTGTAACGCTCAGAGAGCCATCAGAATGAGTCTTAACTTTGTAAACCCATTTGCAACCAACCAGGTTCTACCAGCAAGTAAAGGAACCAACTCTCAAGTACTAGTTTTCTGTAAAGCAGACAACTCATCCTCCATAGCTTGAACCCAATGAGGATCTTGACAAGCCTCCTTGTAAGACTGAGGTTCTACAAAAGAGTGAATAACAGACAAAAAAGTACGATAGGAAGCAGAAAAACAAGTATTAGACTAACCCAACCTATTTGGAGAATGACGTGCTCTAGGAGGATATTGGTGTGCAGTAGGATCAGAGTCGTCAGAAGCAGGAAGATCAGCAGTAGGGGTGGAGACAACTGGTGGAGGAGGAGCCTTACGACGAGAATAAACTAAAAACGGAGGAGGAGAAGAAACTGAAGAAGGAGAAACAGCCAGAGGTGAAGCAGGAGGAGAAGATGAAACAAGCTCAAGAGGAACTGTGGAGATGTACTCATCAGACGGTACCTCAGAGGGAAATGGGTCAATGTGAACCAAATCCTCTTTGGAAACTGGAGCAGTGACAGGAGGAAGCTGAAAGTAAGGCAGACGTTCGAGAAAAGAAACATGACGAGAGACATAAAGACGATGGAAAACAGGGTCGTAACACCGATAACCTTTCTGAGTAGGACTATAACCCAAAAAGACACAGAGGATAGACCGAGCATTAAGTTTGGTCCTATCTTTGCGGGGAAGAAGAACAAAACAGGCAGACCTAAACACACGAAGGAGGGAATAGTTAGGAATTTGGGAGAACAAAGCCTCATAAGGAGACCGACCAGAAAGAAGGGGAGTCGGCATGCGGTTGAGAAGAAAAGCAGCAGTAAGAACTGCCTCCCCCCAGAATGGAGCCGGAACTGAGGCAGAGAGAAGAAGAGACCTAGCGGTCTCAAGAAGATGATGGTGTTTACGCTCGGCTCGACCATTTTGGGCAGGTGTATCTGTACAGGAAGTTTGGGGAATGCTATCCAAATTGGCCAAATACTCACAGAATTCATTTTTAAAATATTCTCCACCCAAGTCAGACCGTAACACTTTAATTGTAGACCCAAACTAAATAGTAATCATAGACTGAAAGGTACGGTATATCTGATAGAAATCGGACTTATGAGTCATAAGATAAACCCAAGTGTAACGGGTGCAGTCATCAACAAATGACACATAGTATGCAGAACCTCCTTTGGTGAGAATAGGAGAAGGGCCCCAAATATCAGTATGAACTAAAGAAAACGGTGTATCAGATATATAAGTACTTTTACGAAAATGTAAGGCTGTCATTTTGGTAAGTTTATACCACTGACATTCAGTAAGTTCACTAGGAGAAACTTTACCCAAAATACCTGACTGAGCTAAAGACCGTAAGCAGTCAGCAGACAAATGTCCTAATCGAGAATGCCATAAGTAGAAAGGACTAGACAGAGAATTTAACTGAAAAGAGGAAAAGGCAGTCAAAGAGGTTGCTATAGGCAGATGCAAGCTCTCCACCACATAGAGGTCTCCAATTCTACGGCTGGTCCCAATCTGCTGTTTAGACATTCGATCCTGTACAAAATAGATAGCAGAAGAAAAGATAACATCAAAACCAGCGGCATCAAGCTGACTGATAGATAATAAACTAACAGATAATTGAGGAACATAAATGACAGGTGGAATAGAGACAACAGACATAGCAGACGGTAGGACAGACCCAACAGATACAACAGACATACCAGATCCATTAGCCGCATTGATAGTAATAGGAAAGGGATGAGGAGTACAATTGTGAAGTAAGGAGAGATGGGGAGTCATATGATGAGAGGCACCAGAGTCAAAAAGCCAGACAAACGAAGGGATACCTGAAGAAGACCCAAGCAAACCTGAATGAAGAGATGAACCAACGGAAGCAGATGAAGATGGCTGAGAGGTAGACAATATATGCTGAAGTTGACTAATCTGAGCAGTCAAGGAAGCCAAGTCAAGATCAGGAGTCAGAGCAGATGCAACATACGCAGTGGGAGGAGTCCGGAAGTGGTTCTGAGATTGCTGAAAAAATGAGGTAGGTTGACGTCCCTTCTTGGGACAGTAGTACTTCCAATGGCCCTTCTGATGACAGAAGGCACACTCATCAAAAGCCAGAGACATCGTAATAACTAGAAAATTGAGGGGTTAAAGTGTAATAAAACAAAGTAGCCAAACCAGGGGTTCAAGTGTAATAATCAAAATATGAGGGGTCAAACTATAATAACAAGGAACTTGTTTGGTCCAAATAAGAATAAAAGAGAACTGGGTAATTTCATAACCAGGTGGGTCAACTTCGAACCACATAGAGAGAGAGAGAGACAGAGAGAGACAAGAGTCAAAGTCGACTCTTGAGCAGCCAGACAGAGCAAAGGGCCAAAGTTGAAGCAAATCGAGAGGAACAAGGGTAGGCAGCTCTTCGATCGTGTGAATCGAAGCAGGAGAGAACCAGCGATGACGACTCCTCAACTTCACAAGTCCAGTGACAGATCACAAACCAGAAAGATCACGAACCAAAGGCTAGGGTTTTTGCGAATGACCCGTGAGGCAGAGAACCTGCGACGCAGAGAGATAAAACCAGAGGGTTGATTTCCGAGAGACAATGGACAGGTTCTAGGGTTTCAGTTCAAAGTGGCTCTGATACCATGTAAGATTCCTGAAAGCTTTTCTGTATCTCGTATATTCAATGTGTGAATGATTTCAATCAGACCTTAGATTATATAACCCTAAATCCTAAACCAAAAAGGAGAATACAATTATGCCTTTAATAGGACTCTAACACAACCATACCTCTAAATATACAATATATTTTCACAGTTGCCCTTGTAAGAGTTACTCCTACTTTTTGTGACAAACTCAACTTTGTCTACTTCATCATACATAACTTCATCAAGGGGCACAACTTTGTTCTCAATTATGCCTCTATATCGGTAAGTTGTAAACCCACCAAAGTTACATAATGGTTCTTGCATGAAGGGTTGATCACTAGCCTCTATCGTGCCAAAGGTGATAGTACTGAAACAAGGAGGTATAGAACCATTGAAATAGTTATTGGAAAGATCCATCAAATTTATCTGATTTAGTTGACACAATTGAATTGGAATTGAACCGCTTAGTTGGTTCCCTCTGAACAGAAGAATTCTAAGGTTGGAAAGTAATCTAATGGAATCAGGAATGCTGCCAAAAAAGATGTTGTCTCTAATATCCAGCGTCAAAAGATATGACGAATTAAGGAGAGCTCTTGACATTGGCCCTGTAAACTTGTTACCTTGCAAATGCATATGCTTCAAGTGTTGCAGGTTTGGGTTTGAGCAAGAAGGATGTATTGATCCCGAAAATCAGTTATAAGAGATGTCCAGAAACGCACTTGGAACCAGTGCACATGGGAAATCACCATTGAATGAATTATTTCGCATGATTAGTGTTTGTAATGATGTCCTGTTATCCATTGAACTTGGAATCTTACTTGACATGTAGTTGTTGCTAATATAAGAAATTGAGAGAGATTGAGAGAGCAAATATTAGCTCTATGTTTTTGATGTATATTGCAACCAAATGGAACCTCCATTATATAGGAGATGTTTTACAAGACAAAATGATGAACAAAGGAAATATACAAATGAAAGGCCACCGAAAGATAGCTGAAAGCAAAAGGAAAAGAAGGCGTCTATCTGTGCTAGGCTAGCAACAACTATCTATACAGATATTTAATATAATCTATTAAATATACTATCTACTATTAGCAGCTGTAGATCTATACAGATTAATATAGTATTAACTTATAACATATTATAGGTATAGTATTAACATCCCCCCTCAAACTCAAGGAGGACAAACATCAACCAACTTGAGTTTGGAGACAAGGTCAACGAAGCGGCCAGGAGAATGAGCTTTGGTGAAGATATCAGCAGGTTGATCAACAGAAGAGATCGGATGGAGATGGACAGTACCATGAGTAACATGTTGCCGAATAAAATGGCAGTCAATCTCAATGTGCTTGGTGCGATCATGAAAAACATCATTGTGAGCAATTTGAAGAGCACTGTGATTGTCACAAAAGAGGGCAGTAGCGCCAGAGGGAGTAACACCCATGTCAGCAAGAAGCCAACTGAACTCTTATCCCTTATCCGCTTATTTCAGATTTCGATATTTTCGGAGATAACCTCGGCTTTGCCGAGATCACATCGGCGTCATGATCTGAACACGTGGAACGTCAGCTGACACGTTGGCGTCACCCTGGCTACGTGTTGGGACTCAGAAAATATATCCCCACAACCCTTAATAAAATGATGAAAATGATTTTTGGCCATTAATTTATTAAATTTAAATAAAGAGAACGTGAAGAATTGGAAATATTCTAATACGTGAGTCACGGTGAATGTATATTGAAAAATGCTTCATACCACTAATTTAGCATCACTAATGCACTACTAATGATGTGGCATCATGTGGACCCTACTACTGATGTGATAGTTTGGCCTTTGTTTTGTTTTATTTTTTTTTTTTACATTGCCACATCATTAATGATATTTTTAAAACTTTAAATTTAATGCTCTAAATCACTACTCAATAAAACAATATAACTGCCCATGGGCTACGAGAATATATATATATATACATATATATATATATATATATTTAAATAAGTTTGATTGTTAACTGTAATTGCATCAATGAAGAGAATTTTAAAATTGCTAAGTATAGAGAAAAGAAAAATTAAAAGAAGAAGAGAGGGAGACGAAGAAAGATGATTAAGTGAACAATCAAAATAACCATCAATTTACCTCTGCTCCCATGCTTCGAAAATGAAGTGCTGAAAATAAAGTGCTGAAAATATAAATGATAAGAAAAATAGGAATCAATTGTATTTGATTTGAGTTGGATGATGACAATGTAGCCATGAATGACTATTTATGGGCAAAACATTATAGGAAAAAACTACTTAATAACTACCCTATTCTTCCATCTTCATTCTTGTCTTACCATGTGTCCCGGTTGGAACTCGGTGTTGGAGAGCATATGCGCTAGAGTTCCAATACTGGCATGGCCCATGATAGCAGAGCAGCACCTGAATGCAAGCATGGTGGTGGAGGAGATCAAAGTGGGCCTGAGAGTTGAAACCACCAATGGGCCTGTGAGGGGTTTTGTTAAGTGGCAGGGTTTGGGGAAAATGGTGAGAGAGCTCATGGAAGGTGAGATGGGGAAGGAGGTAAGGAACAACGTGGGCGAGTTTGGTGAGGCTGCAAAGAAGGCTATGAAGGAGGGAGGCTCGTCGTGGCACACGTTGAACCAACTCATCGATGAGTTACAAGCACTAAGAGGTGACAGTTTGAAGCTCTGCTGTTAGGAGTAATATTGCTAGTTTGGAATTAATTTTTCGGAGTTTTTTTTGCACTGGTACTACCGCAAAATAGTTTTTTTAATTGCAAATAGGGTAAGCCTTCAATGAAATTCTATAAAAGAAGGTGATCAGGTTTCTGCAACATGATTGGATTTGTATGAACTCAGAACAATTTTTTTTCAATGAATAAACACAAATTAATCTAAGTCATATGATATGCACTTTCACATTCAATCATTAAATGTAAAAAAATTAAACTAAGTCATTGATCATAGTCGCATTAGATCATAACCGTCACTAATTTAGTCGTAATTAAAACTACCACATTGTAACTAACATCATTTTAAGTCATAACCAAACACACTAATGAAACATAACCAAAGCTAGCGAAGGTAGATGCTAAATTTGGCAGGCCGAATCACATAAGATTACTGACAGTTGGCGAAATCATTAAATAATTTCTATATGGTCAGGAAGGTGGAGCATTCCCTGTAACAACCTATCCATAAATAAAATATAACCTAAAACAATTATTGTCATATGCATGTCAGGATCTAAAACATTTCAGATCACACATTTCGCATAGTAGGCTCATATTTAATCCAAGTTTCTATATATGTGAGGTTGGCCAACAACTTGTTGGGAAGGTGAATCGCGTTCTGAAATTAATAAAAAGTGAATTGTGTTATTCAATTCTTTGATTTTTTTCTTGTGTCTCGAGCATTTATTAGCAAGACCCATAAAAATAATCCAAAGTAGGCATAGTTAAAAACTAATAAAAAAAGGCTGAACATGAAAATTGGAGAATAGCTAAAGGCTTAAAGCCTCCTTTAATATATATTTTTAAAGTACCAATCCAGTAAAACTAATATTCCTTTGTTTTTTTTCTTCATTTTACCAAGTGAGAAAACCCGTTAAGTCATTTTGCTTAGCTTTATACCTGTCCCAAGGTATCATTTATAAGAAATTGAGAGAGATTGAGAGAGCAAATATTAGCTCTGTGTGTTTGATGTATTTGCAACCAAATGGAACCTCCATTATATAGTATGGGAAAAGGTAACAGTTAGACCATGCTCACATAATTGACTAATGGAGATAAGATTTAAAGTGAGAGCAGGCATAAGATATACATGGGATAAAGATAAGTGAGAGGTGGAAACAGACCCAACATGACTTACAGACAGGAGAGACCCATCAGCAGTATGGATAGAAGGAACATGAGGAGTCGAAGAGAGAGGAGTAAAAATAGTAGGATCAAAGGTCATGTGATTACAACAAGCGGAGTCAAAGTACCAGGAAGTGTTACCTGCGGTGGTAGACAAAGCAGTAGATGGAGGAGTACCGGAATGCTGCCAAAAATGTTGAAACATGGCTTCAACATCGGTATGAGAGAAGACCGGAGTGGAAGGATCTACAGGGACAGAAGAAGGTGAATCTTCGGAGGCGGCAGCAGCAGTGCGTGGAGCAGGCATGTTTTTAAATGGAGTCCCAGAACGGTGAGAGTTGCTGCGGGAAAGATTCCCGGTGGAAGGACCATGGCGAGAGGCACGGGTAGGATTGCGGAAGCAATCTTGTTGGAGATGACCGGGGCTAGTCTTGTTGCAAAATCGACAAAGACGAACGGGACAATGAAGCAGAAGATGAGTCGATAGAAGATTGCGGTTGTGACAATAGTTGCAGGTAGTGGACGGCTGTGGTGAAGGAGAACTCCGAATCTGGGGAGTAGCAAGAACAGAGTCCACAGGGTGTGGATGGAGAGTACCAAACCTGGTTTCCTCGGACAGGAGTTCAGAAACGGCTTGCTCAAGAGTGGGTAAAGGAGTGCGACGTAGGAGAGATGCGCGGACGGGCTCAAAACGAGGAGTGAGAGCCATAAGAAACTGAACCAAGCGCTGTTGGTCACGGTAGGTAGTAAACAAGGCAGCATCCTCAGTATGAGGCCATGGAGGCTCAGAAAGAGCGAGTTGATCCCAAACATAATACATTTGGGAGAGGAAATCATTAATGGTCTGAGTGTTTTCTTGGCGCATACGGTGAAGATGACTCAGAAGCTGATATTGGTGAGCAAGACCGGTAGTCTGATAGCGTTCTTGCAAAAAATCCCAGATGGCCTTGGCTGGAGAGGAAGCAGACTCAAGTTGGAACCTACCAAACTGAAGGCTGATGGATGCAATAGAAGTATTGCGAAGCCAGGTGATGATCTGATAGTTTTTACTATCCCAATCTTCTAGTCGGTCGATATATTTGGCAGCGGAGTCCGTGGCAGCGGATTCCGTGGTTGCTGGGACTGGTTTGCACACATCCCCAATAATGATATGCCAAAGTTTCTTGCCTTTGAGGAAGCTAGACATGGCTTGTGCCCAAAGGACATAATTAGTCCCGTCAAGAATAACGGAAATAGGGTGATTAGAGGAATTCGGGCGATCCATGAGGGAAAAATAGCACAATGGAGGTAGAATCTGAAAAAACCGAGGTTACCAGTGAATTCAGAAGGCCGAAATTAGTGGGAAAAGGAGTGAAACGACCCAAAATATGACCACAGAGGCACAGAAATGAGAGGCAAAGGGCACGACGCACATTAGCAAGAAAGGGCGCGGCGCACGTTAGCAAAACAGGCCAGGCAGTGCACGGTAGCAGAGAGGGCTGACGTGTGCTGACGTCAGAAACACGCGGCGCACGTTAGCAAGGTAGTGCGCGGTGCACGTTAGCACGGGACAGTGTGGAGGATGCGTGGAGCGCGTGTGAGGCGGAAGGCGGAGGCAGGCGACGCGCCGTTCACAGAAGTGGCGCGTGAGAGCGCGTGCAACGTCGTATTGGGCTGACATTGGTGGCGTTGGAATCGTCCGGAGGAGACGAAGGTTCTGGTGTGGTGAAAACTGTATTTCAGAGATGGACGAAAAAGGGATACAGATGAAATGCAATCTGCAGAAAAATTATGTTGGAAGAAGAGGCTAGGCAGAAAACCTGTGCTCTGATACCATATAAGAAATTGAGAGAGATTGAGAGAGCAAATATTATCTTTATGTTTTTGATGTATATAGCAACCAAATGAAACCTCCATTATATAGGAGATGTTTTACAAGACAAAATGATGAACAAAGGAAATATACAAATGAAAGGCCACCGAAAGATAGCTGAAAGCAAAAGGAAAAGAAGGCGTCTATCTGTGCTAGGCTAGCAACAACTATCTATACAGATATTTAATATAATCTATCAAATATACTATCTACTATTAGCAGCTGTAGATCTATACAGATTAATATAGTATAACTTATAACATATTATAGGTATAGTATTAACAGCTAATATCAAGGAAATTCAATTTAGGTAATTTGGAGAGCACATTTGTCAGAGGTCTTGTAAATTGATTATCATTCAATTGCAGAGTCTCTATATTAGCCAAGTTGAAGTCAACTGAAAAGATTTGACCACGAAAATTCTTATTTGATAATTTTAAAATCCATAAAAACCTGCAATTTCTAACTAACTGGTTCGGCACCTCCCTTGAAAAATTATTAGTGGATAAATCCAGAACAGACAACTTACTCATCTTACAAAATGAGGATGGGATACCACCTTCAAAAGCATTACTGGATAAGTTTAAGTACTGAATATATGGAAACATATCCCTAATATTGGCTTGAATTTGCTCACTTAAGCGATTGTCAGAGACGTCAATTCCACTAGTACTTATATAGCAGTATTGTGGCAGAGAAAATGGATTAACAAAAGAGTTATTCCGCAGGAATAAAATTTCTAGTCTCGTGTTGTTCACCAGTAGCCAGTTTGGGAAAGACCTTCTCAAGTTATTGTGGGAGAGACCAACAAACATTAGCTTGTTTTGGTAAAGGAGAAATTTCGGAACATTGTTAGAGAGTTTGTTCAGATTGCAGTTTGATAGAAGGACTTTCAACTGAAAGATGGGAATCCAATCTGTCAATTCAGTCTCTGCCTCAGATTTGTTATTGTCACTTATCAATTCAACCACCTTAAGGTTTGAATGGATTGCAAATGAGCTGAATGAGAATAAACCCTCGAAACGATTATGACCAAGACCAATGTACTCGAGGGAGTTGAGGCTTCCAAACAGAGATGGAGAAACGTTTCTTGTGAATTGGTTTAGAGAAATATCAAAAAACTTGAGAGATCTCATATTGCTTAGGCATGGAGGAAGGATCCCTTCAAAGAGGTTATAGCTGAGATCTAACTCTTCAAGTTTCTTCAGTTTGCACAAACCTACAAAATAAGAAGCTTATGAAACACGTATAGTTTGTAATGCCATAGATTCATATAATACTCTGTAATACAAGTTCCTATTATAATATGTATATAAAGTGTTGTTTGATAAAACAATTCAATATTTAAAACTAAATGTATTAAATAAAAATCGATTACATTCATTTAATAATCACAATTAATATCACTTAAAAATTCAAATGGGTCTAAAAATTTAAGCTAAAAGTTAAATTTTTTCTAAATGATATGGAACTTATTTAATATTGACTGAATTTATAAACACATATGCACAAGCATCAACATATACTGTTATAACCTTACCATCACTACCACCACCGCCACCGCCATCACAATATAAAATTTGAAAGATACAATTTTAAAATAATAATTTTCAAATTTAATCTTCTACATATCAAACAATTTCAGCATTTAAATTTTTATCAAACAACATTTTAATTTAAAGAACTCAGCTTTCAATTTTCAGTACTTAATTTTCAACTTTTGGGAAACACTATGGTGCACACCCTTCAAAGGTGTGCACCATATGCACCTTATAACTTAAAAGAAAAATAGCATAACTTTAACTTTTTGAGTCATAACTAAAAAAAAAATATATATATCATAATTAAACACGAGGCATAATTAAAAAACTCATGTGTCATAACTAAAATAATGTCATAACTAAAGAAAAAAATTAGTCATAATTAAAGAATAAAATGACATAACTAAAGAAGAAAATAACATAATTAGAGATTCATATGATACACCTTTTTTAAAGGAATGTATATTAGAATTTTCCTCAACTTCTAGTTTTCAACTTCCAATTTTATCGAACACCAGCTAACTCTTGAAAAAAGAAAGATGATGCTAGTTCATAGTTTTTGTCAATACGAGTTTATTTATTTGCATGAAGCAAATAAATAAAAAAACAGAAAGGAAGCAATAGAATTTTTGTTGGCCTTTGAATTTCTATTTTGTTGGCCTTTTAGTTTATAATAGATAACCTTAAGGAATAGAGTTTTTACCTTGAATTGGTAAAGAACCATTAAGGTTATTTTGAGCCAGAGATAGAGCTTTCAGAGAAGATAATGCTCCTATGGATGGAGGAATACTTACTAAGAAATTATTCCTACTCAAATCTAAGATCTCCAGATGTCGGAAGGATGTCAAACCTACCAAAACATACGACAAAGGTAAAATAGAGCTAAGAGAACTTGACAAAATACAATCAAGATTGCAGGGTGATCCTAAGACAATTTAAATAACAAAATTCTTGCCTTCCATTGGTAGCGTTCCATTGAGCTGATTTCCTCTGAGGAGGAGGACTTCTAGATTGTTAAGATTATAGGTCAATTCTGTGACCCAGGTGAAGAGACTCGTTAATTGGATTGAGATAAAGAAAATAGAGATAAATATAAATTGATGTTGTGACCTATATTCTGTGGGCACCTCAGTTAGTAGCTCAATTTCAAATGAAAATGTAATGTTAAAATTTTTTTAGGACAATGATGCCATTGATGGCAGTAATAGATTCCAGAAAGATATATTTGACAAAGAAGAAATATAAGTTTGCACAATTTGTTAGCTGTAAGGCTTAATTTTTCCAACTATTTGAGTCTTCTCAACAGTCAAATGGAGCTAAAAAAATTCACTTAAGTAGCATGAATTTGAGAAATAAAAAGTACACGTACCTTGGTTAGAAAGTGGTCCTTCGATTCTATTGGACTCCAAGGATAGAAACTAGGGATGGGAGAGCACCCAAAATCCGGAAGGCATCCTTGTCAAAATTATTATTACTTAGATTCAGATGCCTCATCTTGCTCAAATTAGACAGTAGTTTAGAATCTGAGCACATGACAATGATCAAATGTCATTAAAAGTCAACCCCAAAGAATCATAAGTGAAAATGACCAACTTATTGCTTTTACAGGTAATTAGGTACCTTTTAAAAATACTTTCACTCTGATTCACAATTGTAGACTATATATATATATAGTGGTATGGAATTAGTGCGCGCACACACAGCCCTTACCCCCCTTTTTATTTCACCAAAAACAGTAATTAGGTAAACCACAAACCGCTATGAATAAAACCAGACAATGTAGACAATTTCTTTCATAAGTAACATCTAACGTATTTAATCATATTTTCAATTTCAAATCAATAGGTAAGTTAAACCAGTTAAAAAAATAAAAAATAAAAAATAATAAACAAAATGAAACAAAAGAAGTCGTAGAGCTAGAAGTACTAACAACTATTTCCCAGCCTTCTATTTCTTTTTCTTTTATCTTGCTTTCTCTTTTTGGGCTTTTCTGTTATTTATTTAAATATTTGAAAATCAAGACCACAATCATTGAATGGCTCCATCATTATTTTACACATAATTGCACAGTAGAAATCTATGATCTTGAATGTTACAATCAAGTGTCAGCTATCTAAATACAAAGTTATAACATCAGATTTTTATTTTTTGTTCATTTCAAGTAGACATTAAAATGCTCTTCTGAAGCTCAATGAATGACACAACACTCTAAAATCCATGCATTGTCCAATGCCTTTGTCAAATCCTCTTCGCTTTAATTGATTCATGGCATTTCTTTTTATGTGAACTTGTTGGAAATTGTCTCAAGTTCCTATCTTTAGGTGTTGGTTTTTCTTTTGTGAAGTATTCTTGCAGCAATAATTTCATGATCTTTGCAATAATAATTTGGCCTAAAAGAGGCTTTAATACGCCCAAGGTTTGAGGGGCTCTACTCTCATGGGAGAGCATGTTTTTTGTGAGAGTAATAGACTTGATTCACTACAGAAGAATGAGTAGTGCTGCTTGAGCAGAATATTTAGGCCAAAATTGCAAACCAATTCCTAATGGAAATTTTCTATTAAAAAAGCAAGTTAAAGGGTTATGCCTTGGTGTCATATCTATTAAGTTGTGGTTTGTAGGTGGTATTATTTTGTTTGGGTATTTTGTAATGTAGTCGCTTTGCTAGGTGTAAGAGGGGCTAATTTGAGCCCACTAAATTATTTAGGCCCAATAGCCCAAGATTAGTGGGCCCAAATTTATCGCAAGTCCAAGACTGGCGGGACCAGATTTATCACCATCAAACGGGCTAAATGGCTCTAAGCCTCGAAAGGGTTCGGATCCACGAACCTAGAGACTTACTCAGGCCCGGACTCGAAAGGGTATTAGGCAAGCCTAGAGATCCGAGGCACTCGGACTCGAAAGGGTTCGGAACCACAAACCTAGAGATCCGAAATACTTGGCTTCGAACGGATTCAGACGCAATCTAGAAGTCGCTCCGTTAATGAGTCCCAGAACACTTGCGGGCTCGGAGCTTTCCGGGATCTACGCACCAGAACCATGGGCGTAATGGAGTTCGAACAAAGGACCCGATCCCGAGGACGGTGAATCCCCTATCTCCTCCCACAAACGCAACGTATATACACAAAGGTCATATACACAATCAATCAATACATAACATTAATGTATTCTATCAACCGTCATACTCTATGACATATCCAATTGATTAGTTTTAGTTCA